ATCCCAAACCCTATCTGACTCACACCTCATTCACTCCCCCTTAAATACTTTAGCTCCACCCTCTTAAGTCCCACCTCCCATCACGCTACTGGCAGATGACATACAGCCACAGCTATGACGGGCAGATGATGTCACCGCTACCGTAACAGTTAGCAAAACAGAAACATTGTCACCATCGTGCAGCTTGCCAGCTTTTAATTTGCAACCCCTTGGAACCCCAGTATCTGCAGGAGCAATAGGATTTCCTATTGATTTTTTTCTTTTGAAGCTCCAATGTTCTGGACTTCCAAGCCTGGCATGGAAGATTGTTGATATAAAGGAAAGACAAATAAAGGTATAAATAATTGCCAGAAAAGATAGCCAGAGCAAGGAGAAAAGGATGCCAAGATAGCATTGCNGGGGGGGGGGGGAATCTCTGTTGGGGTGGCAGGATTAAGATTTTTTTTCTAACTGATGTGATTGTAATATTGCTTATGCTCTATACAAGCCTAGAGTTTTTTTTAATTACATAAGTTTGTTAAGATTTTTTTCATACATGTGATTAAATTGATAGTGAAACCTTGGTAACTTAGAGAATATGTATTTCAAACACTGTTTCTTCTTATATAACTAGTTATAGTCTGATTATAGTCTATAAATTTCAACAAGATTCTGAGGGAGATGTCAGTTTCTCTGATCTGACACCATCAAGACAGCAGCTCTGAAATTATTCCTTAGGCGATGTCTTTCACCTGATTTGTCATATGCGTTAATATGCCAGTTATTACCCAGGAACCAAGTGGAATCTGCTGGTTTCTATTCTGTGTGTAAAAAAAAGTTGCTTGGCAGCTAGTCAGTGGGGAAGGGCACTATAGCTCTGTCTGTGAGGGAGCAGTAGGAAGGAGTGCCCCTGATCATCAGGCAGTACATTCAACAGCCACTGTACTGCTGGAAGAAACCTTTTGAAGAATCTCTCTCTCTCTCTCTCTCTCTCTCTCTCTCTCTCTCTCTCTCTGCATGTGTAAACTGGATAAAAAGTGATGAGTTGTAGAATACAAAAAAGGAAACCAAAGGCTTGTTTGATAAGTTGAACCAGATGGAACAGAAGCACTGAAGGATGATAGCATCTGATAGCTTTGGAGGTCAGAACACCTGAGCTGTAATCAGAGAGGCTCACCTATGTGAATTGCATTAGTCTGGCTCAGGATCGCATTCCCATGTGATTCAGTGAGGTGATGAAAGTGAAGGCATGTCATGGGGCCTTCTCTATATGAACCCACACCATGATGTTCCCTAGAAAAGGAGAAATAAGAGCTATCCACTGCCGTGAAGGCATTTAGAGAATGGGACTAAACGTTTTTCTACCTGAGGCAAAAAAACAAAATGGTGCATGCACACATCTCTTTCCTGCCATGGACAAGCAGCTAACTTGCTTCGTTATTGGAAATGGGTCAGGATCTACCATCACACAGACATGGTTAGTCCACGGTGAACAGTATGGCATGCATAGCTCCAGATCTCCAAGGGAGGGAAATGGTTAGTGGGCTGTCCCTGGCATTGGCTGCCTTGAGGTTGTTGCCTCACCCCACCTAGGGTCATCTCTGGCAGAGAGCAGGAAAAGCCAATGCCATGTGAATGTGCTTTTGTCATGCTGGTAATTGGTTTTTGGCTCTTTTCTAGTGCGTGTGTTGAATTGCTGCATTCATAGCTTTATTTTGCTATTGTTTTATGGTATTTGTTCTTATTTGTAACCTACTTTGAGCAACCTATCTGGATTCCCAGTGTGGCGCAGTGGATAGAATGACGGACTAGGACTCAGGAGAATTTTAACGTTTGAATCCCCATTCAGCCATGGAAACTCATTGGGGGGTGTAGAACTAGTAAAACCACTCCTTAAATATCTCACTTACCTTGAAAACCTTATTAGGGTTGCTATAAGTTGGTTCCAAATTGATGGCAGAAAACTCTCTCTCGCTCTCTCTCTGCTCTGCTTATTTGTAACCTGTATTGAGCAACTTACCTGAAGAGTAGAAGGGAGAAGAGTGATTGGTGTGACGGGCGGTAAAGAGAATGAGTGATGCATCCATAGAACTGATATTGTTTTCCAGCATTCATTCTGTTGTAGCTAACATTCTCAATGCATGGCAGTTTCCTAAACATGCCACAGCCCTTCTGTCTGCAAATATTTGCACAAAGCATGGAAATTGAGTGAGATTGCTTTCTTCCCATTTCTTTCTTTGTTGTTATCTTGTGTTTATTGTAGTCCCGGTAGCCCTGAAATCTCAATAATGCTGAGATCTTAATCTTACGTTATATGACCTGACAACAAATTAAATCAAGCTTAACAGTAATTCCATCACTGAGTAACTCAATTCCTCTGTACTGTCTCCAGTGAATCCACCCAAACTGAAATTGTATTAAAAGCTGATTTATTTCTAATGAACTAAATTTCACACATTATGTATGCACAGATCAATATCTTTGTTCACACAGGTAACGTATGCATCTACACTGTATATACACCATTGGTGAATGTAGGAGGAAAATGGCTACAAGCAAATATGGCAAAAGTTAGGGTTTTTGTTTTGTTTTTATAACAACACTCAAAATGCCCATACTAGCTGGGGAATGCTGGGAGACATAATCCGAAAAGCCTCTGAAACTATTTCAGATCTATTTGCAAAATCATATGAATCCCTGTCACATTGCTTGCCTGTTTCAGTCCTCAGGACACCAGAGTCACATCTTACAGCAGGCAAGGGATTTTTTCCCCAGGAACTGTGAGAATGTATGTAATCTTACAGGCCTATTCTTCAATTATGCTTAAGCATTTTGGGTTGCATCTGATGAGGTCAATAGCATGGTTAATGCTAAAACACATTGACAGGAATGCTGGCTAGAAGTTGGTTATAGCTCCTTGGCTTCTAGAATCTCTTCCTTTACAGGAGCAAAAGCAGTAGTAGAGCAGAAAGGAATTTTGGTTGGGAAAAGCAGGCCAAAGGAAAAGATTTAAAGATGTCCATTTTGCTACATTACTGCTGTGTTTGGGATTTGCTTCACCATGTCTTTTTCAGCCATGGGCAGTTCTTGCTTAGAGCTGGAGGCGCTCTCCCACTTGAAACTTTTGAATTAGGTGCACATCCCACTTACCTACCCACCCCACACGTGGTCCATACACTACCCCTCTGCCTCCAGCTATATTTCAGCTTTAACAAACACAATTTGGGAAATGGTGAGACTCCTTGTGACATCTTATCTAATTCAGCCCTTAGAGACACATTTCCTCTTTACTACATGGTGTATGTCACTGAGTGACTTGGTGTTTATATTCACATGCATACATACTGTACACACACATGCATCCTCAATATAGGAGACTTCTACTGAAATCTATTTCTGTTTTGTAAACAGACCAGAAAACCTACACATATTCTCTTAAAATAAAAACTAAAACATCCCATGCCCTCAAAGGTGCACAAGGACTACTAATGCTACACACACACACACACACACACACACACAGAGAGAGAGAGAGAGAGAGAGAGAGAGAGAGAGAGAGAGAGAGATTTCTCTGTCACACACTGAGATTGTGGTAGAATTGAATATGTAACCCCCATTATGCAGGAAGTGAACTGGTTGCCTTTCCATTTGTGAATGCAGTTTGACGAGATAAAGCTCCTTTATCACAAATTTAATGGTAAAATATATTTCCCATCCCCCAGCCATTTTAAATCTCCAGAAGATTAGATCATTCTTATTTTTTGAAAAAAGAAAAGCTATTAATCTATGAACATCCAACTTGCTCTTCCTTCTGAATGCATAGCCACTGAAATAATTTAAAGTCAGACACAAGAAATGGGGNTATTATTATTATTATTATTATTGCTTTTTCATTTGAGGTAAAGGTAGCTTCTATTAACAGCAAATGTTTGGTTCATGCATTGCAACTGTCTTTCTCCGCTAGGATGAGTGTGACGTACAGAGCTTACGAAAGGTGATGTGTGTGTGTTAGAATATGCAACCCCCCTAGAGTGCATGCGTGTTGAGTGGCTATATTGGTAGACATTCTAATATTATTATTATTGCTTTTTCATTTGAGGTAAAGGTAGCTTCTATTAACAGCAAATGTTTGGTTCATGCATTGCAACTGTCTTTCTCCGCTAGGATGAGTGTGACGTACAGAGCTTACGAAAGGTGATGTGTGTGTGTTAGAATATGCAACCCCCCTAGAGTGCATGCGTGTTGAGTGGCTATATTGGTAGACATTCTAAGAATTCATGTCTAAAAAAGTAACTTTTTCCAGGTTCTGTTCCTGGCCTGAAACCTTGCCTGGTGGCAGGCCATAAGAATGAAAGGAACCATTTAGCAGGATGTTGGCAAGCCTTTGGGTCTAAGTCCAAGTCTTTGGTACCAAGTCCCAAATCCCAAACCCAAGTCACTATTAAAACAAGCTTCCCCCCACCCCAAGAAAAAAAGGGAAGGGTGTCTGTGGATTCCAAGTCACAAATCGAGTCTGAGTCATGGGGGGTGGGGGAGGAGGAAACAAACCAGCTGAGTCCAAATCAAGTCACCGGTGCAACTTAAGTCCACCTTGACAGCAAGTCCCACAGCACAAGTCAACATCCCTGCCATTTAGAGTTTTAATCTAACCCAGAGATTATCTCTTTCTTCTTTCAAAGTAACCTGTCTGGCTGTATTTTATTTTGTCCTAGAAATCAGTGTGAAGAGACAGATGATAGGAAAAGATGAAAGAATAGAGTCACAAAAGCCCATGCTACGGGCTGAGGTCCCTGAGTCTGAAACACCTTAAAATCCAAACATTTCTTAGGAGGGGAAAAAAAAGCTTTTCCTAGGTTGCCACTACCATCACCACCACCATATCAACCAATACACAACAAAGCACCTATTCCACACATTTTGGGGTATAGTGATAGGCTAGCATTTACAGCCATCTTTTCTCAGAGGAACCATCTTGTGTCCTGAACACATACTAATTTTAGCTCTTTCTCTGTTGCTTTCAGAGCCATCACACTGGAGAACACTCTAGTGATCCTGTCAACAGTAGCACCTGACGCTGGAAGGTACTATGTGCAGGCCGTGAATGACAAGAATGGAGACAATAAAACCAGCCAACCCATTACGCTTACTGTGGAGAGTAAGTGCCACTTGGGAATGAGGTGGGAGGGAAATATACAAATCAACCAATCAGTCTTTAGCAGCTGCTTGGAAGGTAGAAATTCAACCGGTACAAGAGGAAGGTGAAGCATCTGCTCCCAACAGTGGAATGGAATAGGGAACCAAGTCTATTTGTCAGGAGCCATCTGGAAGTTCCAGGACAATTGGGAGGGCTGCCATGTTCTCCACCCTGCCTTTTAGGACAGTCGAACTGTGCTTGCTCAGTGGGTGTTTCCCTCCAGGAGAACCAGTGTGGCATAGTGAATAGAAAGTGGGACTATGGCTCTGGAGATCCAGGTTAGTCCACTTATGGCAACTCCTCAGCTGCCCTTGGGCCAGCCCCTTTCTCTCAGACTCATCTGTCTCGTGTGGTTCTTTTTTGTGAGGTCATTGGAGGAAAGAGAGGATGTAAGTGTAACTCACAAGTAAAGAGCCACAACATTTCAGCCGGAGTCTCCTCGTTGATTCAGAGAACAAGAGCCCTATGACGTCTGGTCAGGCTCTACAAGTAAATAAGACCCAAGCCCCACAGGGGCCAAGGTGCTAACTTAGGAAGACTTGTGCTAGCCTTAAAAGCCACCACTGAATGTAAGGTGGGTTGAGGACGCAGCTTGGTGTTCTGGCTGTTTTTCTTACAGACCAACGTGTCCCTAAAGCTCAGTCTGTCGCTGGCATCTGGCTTCTCCATTGCTGTGTCTGGCTTGGGCCCAAATTTAATTTGCAGTAAATCTCTGGCGAAGCTCCAGCTCGTGCTGACTAAACATTTCTGCCAACTCTGAATTTATTTAGACACTTTGGGCTACCGCTGGAAGAGCCATCACTGGCTCTGCCCCCCCCCCCACATTCTTTTCCCCTGCACCTCCGAACAGACTGCCTGCAGCTGGGATGCTCGGCTGCAGCCGTGAGCTTCGGAAGAAATGTAGTTGTAGCCACTGCTTAAGACGCTCTTCACTCTGAGGGAATCCTCTCAGCACACGTGAAATCCAGATGAATTGGCCCTCTCGATGCCTCAGTCCCGCCAGACAGACGGTGTTTACTCCACAGCTGTTTTATGTCTCCCAGGCTTGGCTTTATATCCCCCTCCCTTTCCTTGCCCCATTAATCTGCAGCGCTATGCCTCCGTGTGTAATAAACGCCGTAGTGCATGTCTTTATGGATTTAGCTATATCAGCAACCTTGCCATTCCAGCCAACACATGAGGAGGTGCCTGGTTTTATCACTGCAATTATTTTGCTTTATGCACATACCCGGCTGTTGCTTCTGTTCTTTCTCTTCTTTTCCTCTGCAATGCCACCTGCTGATGTCCAACTGGGGACAGAGGTGAGCAGCTGGCAGAACTCTGTAGAATTTCATGGTTGAAGTGGGTACTGGATGATGTTAATATGCCTTCCGAAGATTTCAGATGCGTGGTGCTCCATAAGGGAAACAAAAGCCCTGCCCCAGAATTTGTCTCCATCTTGTTGCATTGCCTGGTCAGCTTGTGTAAATCTCATCATCATCTCTGGGGTGCCACATTTGTCTCTGCCAATGGTTGACCCTCTGCCCCTGACCCCCAGCAACATGCTACTGTCATTTATACATTTTAAGGGCTTTTTGTGGGGAGGAGAGATTTTTAATCAAAAGCTGAACTCAGAATGGGAGGCCTAGGTGGTGGATGCTTGAAGCAAAGGAGGCCTGGGGAGAAAGTTGCATAGATTTCTACTGTATGGTATGCTTCTTCATGTGGTTGCTGTTTCATTCATCAAACTGAGAGACTGAGTAAGGGCAGAGACAGTGCTGTGCCATTGACAGGAAGCGAAAAACAGCGAGTGGGGCAGGAAGGGCAAAAGTTCAATAAAGGAAGAAGAAAGTGTGGAATTTAGAGTGGGTTGGACAAGGGAATTGGCTGCTGTTTCTGGTCCCTGTTCAAGGCCTGCAGGCTGAACAATCTACTTTTGCAACTGGTGCTACCCAGGTAGGGTTAAGGGTCTTCAGACTTCATTCCAGCAGGGAGATATAAATAATGAGGTGAGTAATAATGCAACAGGGTGCATGCCAAACTGTATGATTCTGTTATGTTGTTTGTATTGCTTGCATAGTGGAAACATCATCTGTTTCTACTGGATACAAGCCAGGCTCTATACAGGGCACGGCAGCCTCACTTCTTCATGATTCAGTATCTTATTCACCAACTTCCTCTGATATTTCATCAACCATTACTCGCTTATTTTTCAGTCCTGTACTCCTTGCCATGACAGGGATGTGGTGGTGCTGCGGGTTAAAATGTAGAAGCCTCTGTGCTGCAAGGTCAGAAGACCAAGCAGTCGTAAGATCGAGTCCACACAACGGAGTGAGCTCCCGTTGCTTGTCCCAGCTCCTGCCGACCTAGCAGTTCGAAAGCATGTAAAAATACAAGTAGATAAATAGTTACCACCTCAGTGGGAAGGTAAAGGCGTTCCATGTCTAGTCGCGCTGGCCACATGACCACGGAAACTGTCTTCGGACAAATGCTGGCTTTATGGCTTGGAAACGGGGATGAGCACCGTGCCCCTAGAGTTGGACACGACTGGGCTAAATGTCAAGGGGAACCTTGGATCTTTACTTTTACCTTACTCCTTGCCACAAAGGTTCAGATTTTACAAGTAGAATTCAGCAGGCAATCATACACCAATGTGTTCTTCCACTGAAACACATGATGCACAAAGATCTGGGCTCGGCTCTGAGGAAAGCTGGGGTGACCTGGAGCATATGAGAGAGGTGACTTGGAGAAATGCTCTGGAGTGTAGCAAAACAAAAGGCAGATGCCTGGCTCAATTGAGCAGAAGTCCATTTCTACAATGAAATGTCTCTCTCTCCTCTCCTCTCTGCTGCATGCCTGCCACCTCCAAAAAAACACAACTGCCCTGAAAGGCACCTGCCTCACCTCTCCATAAGGAGGGTACACACTGGGGTGCAGGGGGATGGAGAAACAATCCTTTCTGTATTTCTCTGATGGAAGCAATCTCATCAGTGGAAGCAGATCCTTCGGTTGACACCCAGAGAGCACGAGAGAAAAGTGTGGCTGTGCCATTGCAATTACTCTGGCGTGGCCAGTGAGGAGATTGGAATCTGGATTCCAGAAGCCAAGGTTATGGTCTGTGAGGCCATATTCATGACTTAGATCTAGCCTATCTGAAGGACAATGTTCTCATACATGCTGGGGCTCTGATCCTAGAGTGGGAATGCTCGGGAGAAATTGGAAGACTTGATTCATGGCGGAAGAAACAACTCCAGTCTTTTAAATCTGAGGAATAAGTTTAGGGAGATGTCTCCAGCTTGCCCTAGGAGTGATCCCATTATTAAGGGCAGTCTGGCGTTCCTCTCAGGCATTCAGCATAAAGGAAAAGGGGAAATTCTCAAAAGAGCCTTCAGTGAGGCCTGTGAAGGTTCTTTCTTGCACTACTCAACACCGCTTCATTTCTCCCCAGATGTAGGTGGCCCAGCTGATCCCATTGCACCAACCATCATTATTCCACCACGCAACACCAGCGTAGTCTCTGGCACTTCCGAAGTGACCTTGGAGTGTGTGGCCAATGCTAGGTAAGTCTCCACCTGATTGCTGTGCTCTGCAAACATGGGTGATAAGAAGGTTTAGCTTTGAAGGTGATCCCAGTGCCAGCTAAAAGTCTGCTTTCCCATGGAGCTTGAGACCCATAGTGGACTCTGATGCAGATTCAGTGACCTCTCCAGAAATGGGCTCTGATCTTGTAATACGACCTGTTAGATCATCAGATGTCCTCTGCCAGCATCCAGAGGCCCCCATCTTCCAGGCTACACAAAGCCAAAACTCACACAGTATTATCTGCCTGTGAAATAAAATCGGCAGCCTATATACAGTAAATGGGAAATGCTATCTATCAGCAGTGACTAGCACTATATCATGTTACACACATAAAAGGAGCCCAGCCTAATGTAAGAGGACTAGACTAATTGAATCATTTGTTGGACGGTAAGTCAATATTTCTAGAAAGTCCATTGATTCACTGAGTTTACTCTTGTTGGCACTAGCAGTTGGACTTAGGCCCCTCATCTTTCCCTCAGCCCAATTTGATGCATTTTCCCATGAACTGAGCTACAAGGCATGATTTCTTCATAGAGAAATCCATGCCCTTGGGGTCCTGCTTGTTACCTGGTGACACTGGCCCCATGGAAAGAGGGTCCCCTTCTCACAGGATTCTCTGCTAACCAGGCCACTCATCAAACTGCACATCATTTGGAAGAAGGGTGGGATGCCCGTGTCTACCGGCATCAGTGACTTCAACCGGCGCCTGACCATCCTCAACCCCTCTCTGAGTGACAGCGGCTATTACGAATGTGAAGCTGTGCTGCGCAGTAGCAGTGTGCCCTCTGTGGTCCGTGGAGCCTACCTCTCTGTGCTGGGTAAGGAGGGGTGCGACCGACCAATGCAAGTGACAGAACTCTCTGTGAATTTGAGCACCTTTGCTGGAGTTCTGGTTCTATCTGGGCCAACCCAAGTCATCATACCATCTGGGGCCTCCACTCTGATGTGTCACTGTCACAGGGCTGTTGTCCTGCTTGCCCTGTCCATCTGCCCACTTCTGTCACTGCCAGTCAACCACACTTCATGCCCAGCCAGGTGACAAGTGTTGCTCATCCAGTCGTCGAGCACAAGGGGTCACAGTGCCCTTAAAAGTAGAAACCAAGCCACTACCCAACTCTTGAGAAGTTACTCTTTTTGGACTGTAACTCACAGAATTCCAGAGCCAATACAGACGTTGTCCCTTCGCACACCCAAAATAATTTCTCCAAGCTGTTTTCCTGCATGGTTCTACAGCATCAAACCATGCAACAGGTAGCTGCTATTGAACCACCACCTCTCAAATGCAGTGCCCACAATCATGTTGTCCCCATGAGAACTGCATTTTGGGAGGGTTCAGAATGGCAGGTGGCAGCTGCACAACCTCATGTTCCTGAGTCAGGAATAGGAGCAGAGCTCCAAAGTAAATGGATATGTGGCAGGAGCTCCTAGGGATGGTTACAGCAGGCAGCAAAGGAAGGTGTAGCTCTTTTACCACCATTCCCAATTGCTTACCTGAGACGGAGGCCTCATGGCAATGCAAGACTGAACATTGCTAATTCCCAGGAATAAAAAAATAATCACAGTGGCCAGAAGCTGTTCCATCCAGGGGTGTCAGAATATTTATACCTGCTTACGCACATTGACGCAAGTTAGAGTAATGCGTAGCTGCTACTGAGTAAGTTCTTGATCAAACACTTGAATGCATGCTGAATCACAGGAATTTACTCAGGGACTCATTTGCCCCTCTGAGATGCACAGTTAACATCATAACACTTGCACAGATGTAAATACACATTGGGATCCTGGCCATTATTGGGGTGCAGGTACTTCAGCACAAATTATAGAGTAAGCATATGAGATGGAGACATACCTTAAGTTCCCTCAAATGCAGTGGGTTGCTGTCTCTCCAGATCGACAGCTCCTCTCAAGGAAGAGTCCTTCTCTTTCTGCACCATTGCTTCCCAGTCCTTTTGGCTGGACACACACACACCTCAGATTGACCTTGGGACTTTTTATAGGCAAAGCAAGGGCTCTGTCCCTGAGCTGTAGCAGTTTCCTGTACAAAGGGACGTTCCGCTATTAGTTCCAAGCAAAGATGGTTCATCTAGCAGCTCGTATACTTCTCTCTTGCAGAGGCACCTCAGTTCACCAAGGAACCAGAGAGACATATCACAGCTGAAATGGAGAAGGTGGTACAGATTCCATGCCAAGCCAAAGGTAATTTTTTTTCTTACTTATTAGGAAACTTCCTAATCAATCTAGTTTCAAGCCAGGGCAAGCTAAGATAATCTTTTAAGTCTCATACCTGCTCTACTGGAGACATAGTCATGGTGGATCAAGCACATTTTCTCTTGGAACTACAGTACATTTGGGAGAAACAAACAAGGTGAGCGTGAGCATGGGGCTGCATCCTCCCCACATTTTGCATGAAGTTTCCTCTTTTCCACATTGTTTTTTTTAAAAACTTGGACATTAAAGATGAGCAAATTTCTACCTTCCATCAGGCTGCAAAAATAATCTTGAAGAGACAATCGGAACAAAAGAAGCTTGATAGACTGACATGTGCCCGACTCTGCAGACAGCCTAAGACAGGAGCCCAGGGGTGGATGGCAACTCCATCCACAGTCACTGAAATGTTTGTCAATGGTTGTGCTCTCCATGGAAAGAGCAAAGTTATCTCAAGAAAGAAATGATGAACTTAACTTTGGGTGATGTAGCAGACACTTTTTGAAGACTGGTTTGGCCAAATTGTGCTTCCAAAGTGCATTGTGAAGACTTTAAAATTTATAGATTCACTTATTTCATATATTTGTACATTATGCCCTTCAATAGATAATAATTTCCAGAGTGGTTCGCAATATTAAAGGAGTCCAAAAATAACGCAAAACATCCAGCAGAGTGAAAGCATTGCAACCGCAGACATTAAAACAAATCGCTGGAGAGCATGAAACTTGTGCAAATAAAGAAGTCTCCTCCCACATCTGGAGATGAATTAAAGGAGGTGGCAAGGAAGCCTCTCTGGGCAAGCATTCCTGTGAAGAGGGTGCCACAACATGGCAGATGGTGGAACTGGAGAAGGAGACTGTGGAAGGAGGCCACCTACATAAATGCTACTAGTGTGTCTCGAAGGGCTTAAGTAACTATTGAGGCTTCTTAAGAAGTCAGTTTCCTGTAACATCTTGTGCATACAAAATAGTCATTTTCCTTGACATACTCTGACCTCTGGCCTAGAAAGAACTCCTTGCATTTCTGCAACAGCCAAACCTACTGGACAGTTAATTGCCCTTGCTCTGGCCTGCAGTATTAAGCAATTAACATCTCAATACGACCAGTCCTGTGTTAATGATGTATTCTCACTTTGTCTATTGTCTGTATCCTCACCCAGTCATGACCCCCATCACCACCACCACCACAGGGATTATGTATAAATACAGATGGCACAATATGAACACTCTGATGTGTCTGAGGAGATGGATATTGATCCGTGAATAATATCCTGAAGCAATACTGAAACAAATGTTAATCTTGAAAGTATGGCAACATTTTGTCCTTTTTCTCCCTGCAACCCCTCCCCCTCAGTCTTCCTCCTGATTTTGTGTAGATGCTGAAACAGACCAACATCTTTGGAAACCATCATTAGGCAATCTTAAAAACAGGATGCCAAGCAGGATGCTTTGTTCCTAAGGGAATAAGGCTTAGCTTTCCAGTTCCTTCTACATCAAAGTGTGCACAAGAACATCATGGGACTGCTTTCTTCTGCCCCTGTGATTTTACTGGGCAATTATCCATGTTCGTTTGTCGCTGCAGAAAACAATCAACAGTCTAGTGACACCTTAAAGGCAACAAGTTTCATTGGGCATGAGTTTTATTTGTCATAAAACGCCTCTGATGAATTGGGCTCCATTCCATGAGAGCTTCCTTTATGGTTGATTCATCATAAGACTCTGATTTTTACAGGGGATTACTAAATCAATATTGTTACATCATTTGGAACAAATATGACATTGTGTTAAAACGTTTGACCAGAGTGTTCGAAGGAGATGGAACTGTGGGACATTTTCCAGTTTCATTTGCAAATCAATTCAGTCAGTTCGTTCAGTAGATGCCACTTCCCCTTTCATTCTGGTATGCCAGTGTTATAAATGGATTTTTTTTTCCCCTCTGTAAATCGCTTAGCCTAAGGAGTGTAAGCCTGTGGCAAAAGAGAAAGGGTTGGAGATTGGATAAGGACAGCCAGAGCAAACAAAGAAAAATGATCAAATAGAAAATAAAATAAAATCTTTTCAAATACTGATGTGTCATATTAAGAATCTAGCAATGCAAAATCCACTGATGGAGGATGGCAATGGTATGTAAAAGATATTTCATTCTCTTATTGCCCAATGGCACCATATCTGTCCAGGTTTTCTTTTTGCTTTGCTTTTCTCTGAAATATTTCAGATAGTTCCAGTTTTGATACATGCAGAAATACAGTTGTTGGTTTTTTTTAAAAATCAAGGCTTCCTCTTACAGGGGTGCTGAAATATTTCAGATAGTTCCAGTTTTGATACATGCAGAAATACAGTTGTTGTTTTTTTTTAAATCACGGCTTCCTCTTACAGGGGTACCTCCACCCAGCATGTTCTGGTACAAGGACGCCATGCTGCTCAGAGTGGAAAAGCTTGCTCGTTTCCAGCTCGTCGCCAATGGAAGCCTGCAGATCAGTGGGTTGGAACCGGACGATACAGGGATGTTCCAGTGTTTTGCCCGGAATGCTGCTGGCGAGGTGCAGTCCTCCACATACCTGGCCGTCACCAGTAGGTGTCCATGAGTACTTTGCTTGGGGGGGGGCTTGTTTTGTAGGCATGCAGGAATGGGTGGGAATTTTGTTTCAGTTTGCTGCTGGCTGGAATTTACCAGGATTAAAATGTAAGAGAAGAAGTAGAACAGATGTCAACTTGCAGCCCGTGATGATTTATAGGGCCTACCACTAAGTGTTGGTGTGCAGTGAGAAAGGTCTTAGTAGCTAGGGAGTACTGTCTTAGGAAGCATAGAGGAATGCCAGCTGGGAGGTTAACAATCTTATAGACGTCAGGAAGGAACTAGAGGCAAGGATCCTGGAAGAAGTGGTCATTCGGATAGTGGAGTGTTGGGCAACAGGAGAAGACAGCCAAATCAGGGCTAGCTGGGGGTGTTCCACAGACAAGAGTTTCTTAGTCTCACTCGTGGAGAGCAAAACAGATGTTGATTTAGAGAGGGCTTCTCAAATAGATAGACCCATTTTAGGTTAGTGAAGAGAAACACAGCATGGTTCCCATTGCAAGCAGCATTCCAGTTGTATTCTGAGGTCCTGTTCTTAGGACTCCTTACTGATGGCTTTCGGAAGTGCTGGGTCAGTGGAAGAAGTTTAAACATAATGGCTGGAACCCTAAAGGGGCTCATGGTTTGTTCATACAACTTGCTTCAGCTAATTGTAGTTAATCAGTGAGCTGTTGGGGTACGTTGTTTATGTGGGTGGGGGTCGTGTGACCAAGTATACAACTGTGATATGCTCTCCCCCTCTTGTTCATTTCATACATCGAAGCAATTTGCTGTGGCAAGTTATGTAAACCTTATGCAAACACCTGAAGGATTCTGGGCTCTGTTTCATTGGGCGGGCTGCTTGGCCATTTCAAACTTTTCTCCCAGGCATTTCCTTGGGTCTCTCTCCCCACTATAGGCATTGCCCCCAACATAACCAAAGGACCTCTGGACAGCACAGTGATTGATGGAATGGCAGTGGTGCTCAGCTGCGAGACCTCAGGGGCTCCCCGACCAGCTATCACCTGGCAGAAAGGTACTAATGAGTTGGAAAAGTATTCCCCCATTTTTTTTAATTTTTTACATGGCTGTTTTAAGAGCCAAGTGTAGAAGTATCTCTTTTTCAAAAGGCAGAGCACATGCTTTGTAAGCAAAAGTTCCATGGTTTAATCTCTAGCATCAATAAAAGAATCTCACATAGCAGATGATGAGAAAGACCCCTGCCTACAATCCTGGTCAGCTACTGCCAGAGTAGACAACCCAGGCTAGAATGACCCATGGCACAGCTTACAATAAAGTAAGCTTTATTTGTTCAAAACTGTCTTGTGCTATGCACTAGCCTTCCTCCAACCTGGCGCCTTTCAGGCATGTTGGACTACAGCTGCTATTACCTCCAGGCACATATTCATCCATGCTGGTTGGGGATGATGGGAGTTATATTCAAACACATCTGTGGCATGCCAGGTGGAGCAGGGCAGGTAGAGATCACCTTGTGAAGTGGCAAACTCAAGTCGTCTCTTAATAGTCTTCATACATAACAGGCCTCAACTATAAGAGGGATATAACAAAGTTCAAGGCAAAAGCAGTGTGGTGACTCTGTACTGGAGTAACTCCTGTTTATTTTATTTATTCATTTTATTTAAAATATTTTTATCCTGCCTTTCTCCTTAAAAAGAACACAAGTTTGCTAATACTGTAACGGCAGTCCTGTTACAGTACTAGCAAATGTGACTAGTCTCTTCCAGGCAAGGCTTTGCAAAAGCTGGATTCTTCTGCAGTCATCTGTGGCCTGTTTTCCAACTCTTTGCCTCTTGGCTGAGTCAGGCCAGGGGAAGGAGGAAAGCAGTTTTTTAAATTATCTGATGGGATAGAAGGGAAAGGAAAAGACAATCTCATTAAAAATCCCCAGGGCACGGATGACGCATCACAGAAACATAGAATTGGAGAGTCGGAAGGTGCTCCAAGGGTCATCGAGTCCAATGCTCTGCCATTACAGGAAATCAACGTCTAGAGCATCCCTGATAAATGGCAATCCATCTTCTGCTTGAAAATTTCTAATGGAGGAGAGTCTAGCACCTTCCAAGGCTGTGACTATGCTAGAAAGCCAAATCAGAGCGATTCGGTTTTGCTGCCGCTTGATTCTCAGCCTGTACCACATTTGAAATCGGAGTCAGTGTTTGCACAGGGGCTGCGGATTGATTTGGGAGTTCACCGTTCACACTGGATGCCCATGTGATTCGCATTCCAGCCCCCTTTCTTTCCTTCCTCTAGTCCTGTCTCTGCTGATCTGACTGGGAACTGACAGGAAATAATAATAACAATAACCCAATGATAAGGTAATAGGGTGACTTAGCATTAATCTCATATATGTAAGGTTTTTTTTTAAATTTAGAGGACGATCAGAGGAGAAGAAAGAATGAGGGGCATGTTCCCCTGGCCTTGAACATCACACCCCAACTGTCACGATCACCAAAACATCACATGTAGAAACCCCCTCCCCCTCACTGTTTACATGAATGTATCACAACTGATGAGGGACGTGGTGGAATTGCGGGCTAAACTGCAGAAGCCTGTGCTGCAGGGTCAGAAGACCAGCAGTCTTAAGATTGAATCCACGCGATGGAGTGAGTGCCCGTCGCTTGTCCCAGCTCCCGCCAACCTAGCGGTTCGAAAGCATGTAAAAATGCGAGTAGATTAATAGGGACCACCTCGGTGGGAAGGTAACAGCGTTATGTGTCTAAGTCGCACTGGCCATGTGACCACGGAAGATTGTCTTCGGACAAAAAACGCTGGCTCTATGGCTTGGAAACGGGGATGAGCACCGCCCCCTAGAGGCAAACACGACTGGACAAAAATTGTCAAGGGGAACCTTTACCTTTACCTTTTATCACAACTGATGACATAGGGAAAAGCCCATTAGAGTTGTTCTGGCTTGAAAAAAGTAGAAGCTTCCCAGCTGCAGAGGGGGGGAAAAAAGCCACTTTAGGAGGAAAAGGGGCTGGACTGATTCAAATCAGCCTTTGTGTCATGTGCTCAGTAAAAAATATTTCAAATTTCACCCGTTTTATAAGTGGAGCAAATCCCGCGGGATTTGACTATGTGGCTGCAGCCTGAATTAGTCCACTCCAGTGTTGAGAAGGAAGCCTCCGCAGGAAGTGCTTCCTAACATTTGATCAGAGTTTGCTTTCTTGTAATGGGACGGCTTTCTCAACTTGACACCAAATCTAGCCCCTTTCTCATAGTCATAATGTATCTCAGTCATGACCTTTGTTATGCCAGCCCTTGGTTGCAGACCGGAGTGTTGCAGCTCTTTCACGCAGCTGCTCTGAAAATTGAATCAAAGTGTTTGATGATGGGTTAGAGCAGTGGTCCAACCTTCTTGGACTTCAACTCCCAGAAATCCTGGCCAGCAGAGGTGGTGGTGAAGGCTTCTGGGAGTTGTAGTCCAAGAACATCTGGAGGCCCAAGGTTGGGGACCCCTGGGTTAGAGAACTGAGCTTTGCTACATGGGCCCCCTAGGTGGCCTGTGTTTCAAGCAGGGGAGCCTTTCACCTTGAAAGCCAAGTCCCCTTTCCAGCATTTTGATCAGGAGCAGCTCCTGCTGCCATCCTTCTGGATTCGTAAACCACTGAGACTGTGCTTGGGGTTCAAGAACACATGTGAAGAGGGAACCCTTCTGAATGTTTTCAGGGCTGGGTTCCCCCTCTCTCCTTAGACCAGATCTAGCACTTGGTTTTCCAGAGCCCCAGGAAAGAGCTCAGCCCCGGGTGTTGGTATTTTGGAAACAAGCCACCTGTCACTGAGAGCCTAACAGCAACCTCTCTGTTTTGCCTCTCCAGGTGAACGGATCCTGGCCAGTGGCTCGGTGCAACTTCCTCGTTTTACACTGCTGGAGTCAGGAAGCCTTCTCATCAGCCCAGCCCGGATCTCAGATGCTGGCAGCTACACTTGCCTGGCCACCAACTCCCGTGGAGTTGATGAGGCCTCTGCTGAGCTTATAGTCTGGGGTAAGGCTGGACCCTCCTGGTGCTTTCACTTCTTGTCCAGTTTTTCTGTTCTATCGGTAGCTGGCAAAGGAGCACTACGCAATCTCTCTTGTCAGGCATAGGTTGCCTCTTAAACAGATTCACGGGAGTGTTTTGCAAAATTGTACAAATGCAGCATTTGTTTTTTAAAAAATTAAAAACTTGATCTCATTATTCCAAGAGGAGGAGACACAAATTCATGATAAATGTTTATACTTTATTTTGCAGTTCAGTCTATGGTATAGGCAAGCATGGGACTACGGTGATCTAAAGTCAGCTGCACATGTGGACTGTGGGCATCCAAATGGTTATGTGTGGATAATCGCACCCTTCTAAAGCAGCTCTAATCTAATAGAGCAGTTGTGATGAGGTTCACCACACTCCCATCCTCAATGAGGTGAATCAGTGCCCCCTGCTGGCCATGTAGAGAATTAGAGGGAATAACATGATGCCTACTCACCAAATAGCATCTTGTGGGTATTTATGTGTATGAATTTATTTATTGGTTGGTGGGTCATTCAGTACTTGTTCTGCCTTTTGATCTAAACTAGGACCCTGGTATGAATGACAGGTTTTACCTGGCCTTGTTCATATATGATTATATATGAAAACAGCCACCTGTTGGCCTCAACCTATCCCCACTTACATGGCCATCATTTTCCTAGACCTGCCCAGATAGGCAGAAACATACTGACTCTATATGTTGAATGGAATGTGAATGAATATTATTTCTGTGAAATCAGTGATGACGCCAATATGGGAGGGACATTTCCTGACAGTGTGGCCTTGGAATTTTTTTTTCCTAGCAGTACTCACCAAAACCTGGATGATCTTATATGTGTGTGTGTGTGTGTGTGTGTGTGTGTATGTATGTATGTATGTATGTATGTATGTATGTATGTATGTATGTATGTATGTATATATGTGTGTGGGTGTGTGGGTGTGTGTGTAGAGAGAGAGAGAGCAGGAGAGTGGATGGGTGTAATTTTGATTATGGCAACTTACATAAAAACGATATATATATAGAGAGAGAGAGAGAGCAGGAGAGTAGATGGGTGTAATTTTGATTACGGCAACTTACATAAAAATAGTGGAAATAGGTGGCCTTTGGCCCCCTTTCAAGTTCACAATTTTATGAGTCTAAGAGATAATAAGGTTTGTTTGTTTGTTTGTTTGTTTTTATTTATTATTTATCTATCTGTCTATTTATTTATTTGGTTTGTATACCAAAACCCACTACACTGGGCTGTAGTCATGTCTTGGGCTCTCTTGAAAGCATTAACAAGAAATTAGCATTAACAAGTTTTCACTTCTAACGATCAGGCCAGGGAGCAGCCCCAAGATGGGCACAGCAGCCACTTGTGTTGCCCTGCCACTTTCGAGTTCCCTTTCTGACCTTGCCTGCCTGCCTTTTCTGCCCCTCTGTATCTGCAGCCCGGACACGCATCACCAACCCACCTCAGGATCAGAGCGTCATCAAAGGCACCAAGGCTTCCATGACGTGTGGCGTGACTCATGACCCCAGTGTAATCGTACGGTACGTGATGCTTCTTATCCTGTCGGTGGTTAGATAATAGAGAAGGAAGGCCAGGTGCAAAAGGCAGGCGCTATAAATGGAGCTGGCAATGCTTGGAGTTCGAGCTAGAGAAAGATCATGATGGAGAGGGGAAAAGACAACAGTGCCGTCTGGTTAAACACAGGCAGGACTCACGACTCCCAGTGCAGACCTCAAACCTTCCCTAGCCAGCAACGGAAGATATATATCCCAAGCCCTTAAGCTGTTTGCGGGAAAATGCTCTGGACTTATGTTTGTAAACACCTTTGTAAGATGAATAAGATAGTTTTAACCAATGCTTTTTTCAAATATGTTTTTCAGTGGCACAGTACTGCCTTAGAATGTACAAAATGGGGGAAGAATCCTTCGCTTTGGGTCTCAGATTACCCTTCCCGACTCTGCTAACATAGATCCAATTATGCAAGTTACAGCCTCAGGACCATTCTTTGTAAAAATTTAGTGCTTTGGAAATTACTAGTCTCTGGGCATCCTCTCTCCTCAGGGGACAACCATGGCTGTGTCTAGCCAAAATGCATGTGTGAGATTCATCTGGGAGAATTACAAAGCGACACAGCCAGCAGTTTCCCAGCATGTCTTCAGAAGACAGGGGGAGAAACATAATGCCAGGGAATACCTCTTCAAAATCGTAGGCCTCTGTTGCCACCTGGTGCCTGGAATGGTGATGATATGGGGACCGGACTCATGGGTGTGAAGGAAGAAAATAGTGATGAACCTTTTCCTGAGAGCCCAACAACATCCTTGTGGCAGGAAATTGTGGTGCCAAGAATTCCCAGCCAGCCTGTTGTCTGAGCTGGGGAACACTGTCCCACATATAACAGTAGGAGGGATGAAATTACCCCTGTCAGACCATGTGCTGGTGCTGAGAAAGGCAGGCATCAAGGGCCAGTGCTGTCTGCGCGCTGCACCATTTACCATTCCAAACAAACAAACTGCACCAAGAAAAGTGGGATTGGGTGGACTCTGCTTATTTGCATACTGCCCAATTTATTCTGCTTCTGCCCATTATGTGGAGCGGTAAAGAACTGGGCATGACGCCAAGGACAGGTGATCCTGCACTGATCACCAGGCATTGCCCACACATTCTCAAACCCAGTTTCTACTTCCATATCGCTAGCCCAACACTTGTCAAAATTCTTTCATTCATTTCATTCACTATTAACGAGTGTTTCCATATCACTAAATTGGGCTCTGTTTACAAAGGTGCCGTACTTTGCTCCCCAACAATGTCTTTCATACTTCTGCCCTCAGAAGAGCCCCCTTTTTTCCCATTTAACTGTCTGCTGAAGAAGCACACCCTCCCTCCATGTCTCCCACAGAGCTCCTGTTGGCTGTGCAAGGCCTGTTTTAGGGAACTCTTCCAAGGGCACTAAGCAGAGGAAGGAAAGGAAGGTGCCAGTCGCAGGAACAGAAGGGGATGAGCCTTCAGGGGCATACAAGGCTTGCCAGACACAGCTACTCATCATCAGGAGCAAATTTGAGCCCCAAACTTTGAACCCCAAACAGTCTTCTCCATCTTGTTGTGGAAGACTTTGTTTTAATGTTTCTTTGGGAAGAACCCCTCTCTTTTCTCCTCCTTATTGGTTCCCACGTAGACCTCTTAAGTCTCTCTGTGCCCTGCAGAAATAGAAGGTCTGCTCTAAGATGTGAGCTCCACACCTGGGTACTGCGGGGAGAAAGTCAACAGCGGGGGGGGCACACTATCTTCCAGGGAAGGTTGGGTTGCCTATCATCACCACTGAGCATGTTGCAGAACAATTCCTGATAAGGGGCCCAATGCGGTGTAGTGGTTAGGGTTTTGGCCTGGGATTTGAGAGACCTGGGTTCAAACCCCAGTTGGCCTTGAAGTTTGCTGAGTGACACTGGGGTGGTAACACACACTCAGCATGAACTACCTCACAGGATCGTTGAGAGGAAAACATAGGGAAGGAAAGGAGCCACATGCTCCATTTTGAGATTTTTGGAGAAAATGTGAGACATAAATAAATGAGGAATCACTGAAGCACTCGGAAAAAGTAACAAGTTGGTTCTCCAAAAGTGAGAAAGACCTGGTCTGGAGGATGTGGTGGCTGTGAGGAATTAATGTTTTTTTTTACTTCTTTGGAGCTTAGTTTCTGGGGTGGCGTAAGGAGGCAGTGAGGACTCTTGGCTTCTAACAGCAATCTGGGGAGGCAGGGAGGTGTTTGGTAGCAGGGGAAGAGCTTTTCAACCCTCTTTCCTCCCCCCCCTCTCCCTCAGGTACATGTGGGAGAAAGACGGTGCAGCCCTGAATGTGGAGAGTGTGCCACGGCTGCGGCTGGACACGACGGGCACTTTACACATTGCCCAGACTTGGTCAGGTGATATTGGCACCTACACCTGTCGGGTGGTGTCTGCAGGAGGCAATGATTCTCGCAGTGCCCACCTACGAGTCCGGTAAGGACTAAGCATGTTCTTATGTACAAACAGAGAAATGCCAATGTGCAGTGTACTCCCTAACATCAAAATGTTGCCACCAGAATGGCATTTTGGCCACTAACTAAATGCAAATGGGCTGTTCTTGGGATCCCTTAGAACAGGGATGGGGAATTTCCAGAGATCCAAGGGGCTGACCATACCATCCCCACATTTTAAATCCTTTTTTCTTTAATTGGAATAGCCCATTCATGCTCTCTAGGAAGTACTTTTTCCAGAAAAAAGATGTAAAATTAAAACTGTTCCTTGCCCAGATTTTGCCTGGCTGGCCTGCCCATTGGCTACCACTTTGTGGGCTGTTCTAAATGCCTTCCCCGGTTTGATAAAGTCCCCTCCTAGCATTACAATTTTAATTTCTCTAAAAAATATGGAGGTGGAACCCCAAAGGGATGAGGTGGCAGGGGTTACATGTGGCGCATCAATGTTTTAGGGCCTACATTTGTTTCATCTCTCTCGTAGTGGTCCACGCTTCAACTCCCAGCTACACTCAGTCCCCAAGCTTGTTTCCCATGTTATACCAAATCCATGTATATGTTTCACATGTATGCGAAACAGCATGAGAAAAGCTACAGTGTAGTTCAATTGGCACCAGTAGGGGTAATGTGCAGTCCTACAAAATTGACCCTACTATAGCAGAGTGGCACTGAGTCTATGGGGTACTCTGGTCCTTAACAACTACTAACAAAGGCTTCTTCTACCCATTTCTTCATCAGGCAGCTCCCACATGCACCAGAAAACCCCACTGCCATGCTGAGTGCTGTGGAGAAACGTGCCATCAACTTGACGTGGACCAAACCCTTTGATGGGAATAGCCCACTGCTGCGTTACATCCTTGAGGTCTCCGAGAACAGTAAGGCATTACATCTTCCTGCCATACTGAGGTGCCGGATGCAGGCTGAGAAGCCAGTCTCATGGTCCAGTGAAGGCAGAGCTAGGTTTTTTTGTCCATTCAGAAGGATTATAGGTGAAAAAACTGGGTGGGAGCAAAGACAGCAGTGGATCCAAGGGTTCTTTCGGTCCCGATTGCCCTCTTAGGGCAAGCAGGGGTGAAAGACTTTTCCACCTTACAGATCATTCATTCCTCCCAAGTTGCGGGGCTGGGAACAGTTACTTTTTTGGATTGCAGATGTTTACTGCATAAAACACTGACCATGCTGATTGGGAAGATTTTGTGAATTGTCATCCCCATAAAAGTAGCTTCTCCAAGATCTGTGTCAGTTGCACATGCCGGTATATTCTCAAGGCTTACAAAATGTGGCATTAGATCAACTATTCCCATCATTACTAGGATACTGAAAGTGAGCTGTGTTTACACAGCAGCAGAGGGTTGCCCAACACCCAATGAACTCCTCGTCCCAGCCAAGCTCTGACGATCATGTTCTGCCCTAACAAAAACTACCTCGTGCCCTCCCTACCAGTAGTGTCGTTCTGAATGCAGCAGAAAACAGAACAGGCTCTGAATCTTAAGGCTGGTGGGACAGAGTTCACTCTGACCTTCCTCCTTAAATTCTGGATCATCTTGTGGGAAGTCCAGTCCATGTCATTCCAACATGGAAGACTGAGTGGAGCAAAAACTGAATACTGTAATTTAAAAATAAGGGTGGGGTCTATTATACCATCCTTGTTCCTGCTTGAGACCTTCCTCCTTAAATTCTGGATCATCTTGAGGGAAGTCCATTCCATGTCATTCCAACATGGAAGACTGGGTGGAGCAAAAACTGAATAATTTAAAAATGAGGGTGGGGTCCATTATACCATCCTTGTTCCTGCTTGAACCCTTTCTCCAATATTGTTTCCCCACCTCCCAACTTTTCTCTGTATATCACAGATGCTCCCTGGACTATACTCATGCCCAGCATGGACCCTGAGGTCACCTCGGTGCTAGTAAGAGGATTGGTCCCTGCCCGCTCGTATCAATTCCGACTCTGTGCAGTGAATGATGTGGGCAAAGGCCAGTTCAGCAAGGACACGGAGAGGTGAGGTTCTGGATGGGTGGCGACGGGTAGCTGAACTGTGTTGGGGATTGGCGAGGCTGATGGGAATGGAGGTGAAGATGTTTTGGCATGCCTTGTGCTTAGCTATTTTGGAGACAAAAAAAAGCCAAGCATGAAAGATGTTGGTGGACCTTTGTCCTTTCTCATATTTCTGTAATAGAAAGGTGTGGATAGCTTCAGCTGAGGCTATATCAATAAACAGCCTTATGGTCTTATCTTATGGCGTAGTGGGTTGTAAACAAAGCGAACAGCATGGCTGTGCAGCCTTGGCTACATCGCAGGCCCTGGTTCTGAGCATCCGGTGTTGTGTAGCACATTCAGACCCCAGTTTTCTTTAGAATATGCAGACGTGGCTTAAAGAGACTTGATGCAAGCAAATACAAACACTGTGAGAAGGAACCATATGTGTACACAGTAGAGTCAGTCACTGGACACTTGCCTTGGCATGGCTGGGTTCGGCAATATCTGCTGAAGACCTATTGGCATAGCTGTTGAAAGTTTAGGTCAACTCTTGGCCCAATGTGGAACATGCTTCCTCTATCCCCTTAATCAGGGTCTCTCTCCCAGAGGAACCCCCCTCAGCACCCCCGCAGAACGTCATTGCCAGCGGCCGGACTAACCAGTCCATCATGATCCAGTGGCAGCCACCACCTGAAAGTCACCAGAATGGCATCCTCAAGGGCTACATCATCAGGTGGGTGAGGACAACATGGAGTTAGGTAGACCTGTCTCCAGTTGGATGGACTTTGGAATGGGATAGTCACTGTGAACCTCTGGGAACCCTACAATCCCTGGTCTTGAACTAGAAAAGCAGAAGGATGTCACGTATCTTGAACATCTGTAGTTATCATATCAAGGGATGGCTCTGGCTTGATTCCTTGTCCATTGCCCCTTGCCCAGGTTTTGCCTGGCTGGACTGCCCGTTGGCTACCAGTTTAGGAATATCACCAATGCTGATGTCAACAACGTGCTCCTTGAAGACCTGATCATTTGGACCAACTACGAGATAGAGGTGGCTGCATACAACAGTGCTGGACTAGGAGTGTACAGTCCCAAAGTCACAGAGTGGACTCTACAGGGTGGTAAGTAGCAGCACCGGAACAGAGGGGGAGGATCATGGATCCATTTGACTCCACAGAGACTCTTTGGACCACTCCCTAAACTAGAAGCGGGGATGTAATGGGTCTAAAGCCATGCACCCCTCTGATGGGGAAGAATCCCGGTGTATATCATAGATTCAAGATACTCATGATTAATCAGTCCCAATCGATAATTAGAATCTTAATTCTACATTGACCATTGGTGGGCAGAGGCAAGGGGGTGTCCATTCCAAAGCTTCTCCCCATCTGTTCATGCTGCGGTGCCTCCTTTCAACTTCCCCTCCCACAGTTCCTACCGTGTCCCCGGGTAACGTGCAGGCTGAGGCCACCAACTCCACCACCATTCGCTTCACCTGGAACCCTCCCAGTCCCCAGTTCGTCAATGGCATCAACCAAGGCTACAAGGTAAGAGGAGGAGGGGGGGAAGAGGTGTGAGGAAAAGGAAGAGGCCACTCTCCTCCGAGATCAGAGTGATCCAGTCTCCTCACTGACTAGGTGGAATCACTTCTTGGTTGATTCCAAACTGGGCAGCAGCATGTCTGTTGTCAAGAAGTCCCAAAAACTAACTTTGTATGGAAGTTAATGAATTTGTAGTCTAGCCGTTGTGCCCTTTTAAAATCAGAAAGAGGGTAGGTAGGTTGGGTCAAGAAGGCTAAATGGATCAGAATGAGGATAAGATGTTTCAGGCATCCATCCAGCCTCCCATGTGGTTTTTCTCCCCATACAGGCAACATTTAAAGAGGATGAGGATCTATACTCATCATTCCCTCATTGCCCGGAAGCTCTGTGACCTCCCATCAGGAAGGGCTGAGCATTCATGCTGCTTCCACTCTGTACTTCTGTCTGTCTCTTTACGTTAGTTATTTCAGGGACATTCATCATTGCATGGGGTTGTTCCCGGGTCAGCCAATTACTGTGGCTGTGGCTGTAAATCTGCTGTACAGGGATCTTCCAGCCTCCCCGGCTTACTTGTCACAAGACAGATTTACAGACAGCACAGGATCTCACTAACCACAAAATATGAAACCATGGAGTACTATTTCTCCCTGGATGATCAAAAACGGAGTGCAGGTTTAGGCCCCTGCAAGCAACCACAGAGAAATCTATAGACTTGTCATCACTTCCAGCCTCTCTTATCCCATAGCTAGCTGCAAAACACCAGTTAAAGGATATACAGTAATTCCATAGCTAACAGCTGTATCAGGTTGAAATCCTTTATGTGAATCAATTCTCTCACAATGTCAACTTATGAAGTACAAGAAGCTACTGTACCCATCTGCTCCATGGGTGCAAACTGAAACAGCAACTCAATTTTCAGAATAGATGAGCTTCTTTTGGTGCTATTCTTGAAAAAACATAACTCTCATAGATTTCATCAGCCATTGAATGGAATGCAATCAATAGTACTTATGCCCTCAATTTCATATTTGTATGAGTTTGAAGAAGCTTGGTGTTAATTCCATGATCAGCTATTTTAAAGTAATGACTGACTTAATTCTTTAAAAAAATTAAAAACCAGTTATTGCACTGCTTCAAGCTTGTCTATTGAAATATATTTAGTAAGCTATAATACTTATATGGGAGCCTCGCCTTGTATGCTCAATTATGAATTGTAATTAATTCAAATTTGCATTAATTAAATTGAATTAAAACATTAAAACTTGTTTCTTAATCTACTGCAAAGAAGTTGTGGAATTTAATTGCTGCCAAACGAGATAAACCAATGTTAAGAAGGATACTTAACATACTTATTAAATGCCACTTAGTATTTTTGATTAGTATTTTTGGAGGCCTAATTAGTATCTAATTAACTTGCTATAGGCTATCTTGCACTGTTGCCAATTAAGCACCCAAACATCCTTGAATGTAACACCATGACAAAGTAGCTGATTATGCATTGTTATCAGCATCAGTTAATCAGGCAGCCTGTGCTGAATATTGTTTTGGCTAGATAAGTACACATACTTATTAAAATCCAACTATTCCTTTTTACCCCCCATTAATTGATATTTAATCAACATGAAATAAAAGAGAGGATATGAATTCTAAGCAAAGCAGCCAACCTAAATGTCTTTTGCAAGCTTAAAAATTCCCATATTATTACTATCATTATTATTAACCAATTATACAGTAACAATCTTCGCAGTCTTTGATTCATCTGAGAAGTAAGCTCCTCTTATGCCTGTGTTACAGCCAGTATAGATGACATAAAGACAGCAATCTCTTCCAGGGGCCGTAGAGATTTCTCTTACATTTGGGGAAACCTTCTGGTTTCTTGACCTTTAGGATGTTCTGCAAAACGCACAGAGAGAGAGATTGATGGGCATCACTAAGTCTGCTGTCCTTAGTCACACTTACACAGGAATACTCTGTGTCCCGCTGTACTTTATTGGACTTAACATCTTTGGAGGTGTGTGCCTCAGAGTGCTCCAACCTTCATTCCCAAGGCTGCATTCGATAGGGAAAAAACTTGTGGAGCACTAAGTAGCTATTCACTGTTTTCTAGAGTATCTCTTTTCCTTAGTGTCCTATCCCGAGGAATTTGGGAGAAGGTAGAATAAAAATGTATTACATAAAGACACAGCCCTTGACTTTTCTCCACAGCATGACTGACAGCACATCACTTCTCTCTGAGAGAAAGAGGTCTCTGCTTCTAAACACAAATAGTCTAAAAGCCATGGCAGCAGATTTTTCTGGGCTGCAATTATGTTGCTTTCAGCTGGGCTTTCATTTTTAATTGGGTTCTCTCATAGGCCTGCCTTACAGATTCAGTCCCTTGCAGGTCTCTGAGGAAAGAAAGGGCTCTCAGTGGATGCCTCATTCTTTGCCCCTTCATTGCATACCTTTGTGTCAGAGAAACAATTGGCAAACTTTAATCTCAGCAAGTTTCTTTCTATATGTCTTTGAAGAGGTACAAATGAAGGGAGAAAAGATCATAGGAACAGAAAGCAGTAGGAAAGGATTGTTCAAGCCCCGTGGGTTTCTCAGGCAGTCCTTTGAGCGATAGTGAGATTGGGATTGAGGCCAGAATCATTAAACATCTTTACAAAGGATCTATGGCCAGCCATTGTCAGGCAGATGTGTATGTTGAGCAGTGGCCTTGCTTTGCCACCTAGCCTAAGCATGCTCATGTCTGTCAGGGATAGAAAGAGAGACTGGAGACCTTCACCCCAAGAGGCTGGTGCCCATCTTCAGCGCTTACCTCCAAGTGGGTCTCTTCCAGTTCCGGAGTTACATTTTGTACTGCTGTGTGAGCAACACCAGTATAGTCAGCATATGAAAGCAGTGACTATCGTATATACAAAGGAGCCTCCCAGAAGACTATAGTTAGTAAGGCCTTGGTCAGCTGTAACTACCGCCAGAGTAGCAGGAAGACCTTGCTTGGGATCCTGTTACGCCTTTTCATTCTCCTGTTTTCATTCTCCTCATGCTTGCCGTTTGCTCATGAGATGATTCCCTTGTTCTCACACCCCCTCCCTCCACCGCATGCCACCTAGATTCTAACCCCATGCTTCTATTTCAGTAGCTTGATCTATGGACAGCCTCATTAACTAACAACACCCCAGAGTGTCTTTGACAGCACCTTTTTGCCTGTCCCTGCCTTTCAGCCTTAAGCTTCCTCTTAGTCTTAGTCAAAATCATAGCATGGAAGTAATAAAGTCCAGATGTTGCCTATAAGAACCTATCTTACTCAGTACCAAAAGAGAAGGTTTTCTGGAAGGGATTTGGGCTATAATACCCAGATATACAAAGAGATAATTATGGCTTCTGTGATGAGTAGACAGCTGTTACTAGTGAGCAACAGAGATGTAAAGGGAGGTTGTTGTTGCTGCTCCACTCTGGATGCTGGATACTTTCCTCCTTCGTTTACAAGGCCATATTACCAAATCCAGGGTAACTCCTGTGAGCAAGACAGAAGCGCTCTTGTGGCGGGTGGGGTGGGGGCGAGGAGCAAGCATCACCCACCTTCAGATGTTCAAGAGGAGGGGAGCAAAAGGAAGCCAGTTAGTGCTTGGGGACTTCACTTTTCTAAGGCCTTTCTTGCAACTTCACCCCACTGAATCTCGCATAGCAGGTGGCTGGAGGACATCAGTTTCTCAACGACTCTGTCTTAAGCTTAAAGTTCCTAACAGCTTTTAGAGATCATCCTGCTGTTTAGCTACGTGGTCCTGCTGTCTGAGCAACAACATTATTGTCAGCATATGGAAGCATCAACTATCGTGTATACAATTTATTAAAAGATCTACAGGGACACGGATTGTTCAGATGACGGCACCAACGCCGTAGGCTGCAGCAATAAGAGCAGTGTCTTGGATAACTGAATACAAAATCATCTAAGAATCCATTGCTGCTTCTTTCCTTTCTTCCCTCCACCACCCTCAGCCTGTAATGTTGGTGCTTTTTATCTTTGAACTTGGGCAACAACAATGAATGGGTCAGTTTCACTTGTTTGTTTCCTCTGGGCATTTGCTTTAATGATCATGTTGCAAGAGACGATTCAGATACAAAGAACATAACAGTGCTTTGTCTTCTGTAAAAGCACACACTCTCAGAAATATTAGTCTCTGTGAACAGAACTTGCTATTTCATTCACACACCCTGTAGTTTTGTGCACCAGATTTTGTCTAGACAGAACAGCCTTATACTCTGTTTATGTCAGGAGACAAGAGGCACTGATGTTCTGCCAAGACATGATAGCCCAAGCCAGAATCCTGTGGCCAAATTACTCTTGCATAAGGGGCATAACATAAGCCTTGGTGGCAAATTGTCACTGATTATCAAGGGGGGATTACATTTATGGGCATGTGCCCAGTCATGCAATCAGCCATGCATCAACACCTTGTTAATGACCAGCAATTTCTCGCCAAGACTTACTGTATTTCCTTCATGCAGATGTAACTTGGCAGTAGGATTCTGGCCACTGTCTCCTCAACATGCTTAGCCCAAAAGGACAAACACACCCAAAAATCCCCCCAATAGCAGAGAAAACTCACACATACCCATATCCCCAGAAACTCCTTCAGTTCCTATCAGTCAGGGGATGTGTCATGGCCAAACATTCAAGATCCACCTGGAGGAGGAAAAACTCTTCAACCAACAGCCAACAAAAAAAACATCACACAAAGAGAGCCCCAGGTAGAGACTGAAAGCAATATCCTTTAGTGTAATGATCCCCAAATTTGGGGTTCTGTCACTTCCAGAAACCCTAGCCAGCACAGCCAGTGGCCAGAGTTTCTGGGACTTGTAGTTTAAGAACATCTAGGGCTTCAAGACTGAAAATCTGTGCTCTGCTGGGTCTCTACATAAGGATAGGGGTTTAGGAAGTAAGCTGTTAGCTTTTGTCAAACTTCCATCGTGAAGATATCTGAAGCCCCATTCCACAGGCTACCTTGTCAATATATGAACCTCTGTGTGAGGTTTATATATTGATGGTGGCAGTGATAGTGCCCTATAATCAGGTCCTAACGTAAGCCATTTTCTGTGTTGTGATGGGCATGGCTTTAAAAAAAATCCCCCCCCCCCCCGGTTGTATTCAAGGGCAGTAGGGAAGGAAAGTTCTTTGTCTCAGGACTGGTACAAAAGTCTACCAGAGTCCAAAGGAGCATAGAGCTTGGATCTGAAACTCAGAATAAGGAAAAGCCCTAGATGGGCCAGGCACTGAACCCCTCCATGAACCAAAACAGCCCTTTGGTCCAGTCTTCCCACTGGTCAAACCTTTGTTCCATTTCTCAGGGACTTCTGGCTATTGAAGTCCAGAAGGTGTCTCTTCTAAGCTCTGATCCACACCCTCCCCATGCCACCTCCCCCCCCTACTCACAACTCTGGCCTGTTTTTGCTGTTCTGCAGATGTATCTTTCATGGCAGTGGCAAAACTGGCCTTCCACTGGGTATTATAGGACTTCCACCATCATCCCATCCTGTCTCAGTCAACCCCACGGACATGTGCAATTGTTCTCATAAACCCCTAATGTGTCCCCTGAAGGAAGGAGGAAAGGGAAGTTGACTTAGTTGTAGGTGAGCCTAAAGAAAGAAGTCGCATTTCAGAAGCCAACTTTCAAGGGCCTATTTACTGAAGCTGGTACTGAAAGCAGGGGGAGATGTACTCTCCCAACCTCACTAACAAGATTTGTCAGAGTGAATGATGCAAGCTGAGCAGGTGTGGTTCTGGCCAGTATCTGGATGAGAGATACATTGTCAGCCTTGCTATAAGCTGTGTTGAGCCTTCTTAAACCTGTGGAAGAAGGGAAACACTGCCCTAATTTCTGACCTGCCTAGATCTCACTTAATTAACTGGCATAGTTTGCAAAAAGATGCAGTCAATTCTTTGCCACTAGAGAGTTCCTAAATCAAGACTGGTGCTTTTCTCTCTTTTTGCTGCACTGCTTCACTGGCAGGTTTAGTGACTCACAGAATTTCTCTTGCTTGTACCTGGAGGATTCTCAAATTACATGGTGAGGAACATTGTGTTGTGATCAGGAAGCAGCGATTCCTCTGGCAGTATCTGGAAAGGGCATGAGTATCCCAGACAATGAAGATGGCAATTAATTAATTCATATTTTAACACACGCAGGATCACTGTTGCCAAAGAAAGGAACTTAGCTATTGCCCTTTTTGTTTCCTTTTTTTCTTGTTTTACAGATTAACTCATACATCTGGGAGCAATTTTGTAATTATTAGACATTCGCTTGTTAACAGTGCCTTTGCCATGTTCCTTAATGCTATTGTTCTCTCTCTCTCTCTCTCTCTCTCTCTCTCTCACACACACACACACACACACACACACACACACACACACACACACACACACACACATACATATTCCTGGCTCAGTCTTACTAGCCTTTATGGATAGCAGCTTCACAGAGGCACTTCCTCTCGATCAAACCTTGATGCTCTTCTTTTTTTTTCCACCAGCTGATTGCCTGGGAACCAGGACAAGAGGAAGACATGACTGTGATGACAGTGCGGCCTAACTTCCAAGACAATATCCATGTGGGATACATCCCAGGTCTCAAGAAGTTCACAGAATATTTCACATCAGTGCTGTGCTTCACCACCCCTGGAGACGGACCCCGCAGTCCACCGCAGCTGGTGCGCACCCATGAGGACGGTACGGCCCTTCCCTTTGGAGCTGGGCGCAGGCTCAGTTCTCGGGTTCCTGTATGCCCATGAAACTGTGGTTCCATCCACTTTCCCCTAACCCACTGTTCAACCCAAGTTAAACACCATCTTCCACTGCGGGAGTCTTTGTGCGATACTGCTTTAGTGGCAGAGCCTGAGACCTCGTTGCTGAGACTGCAGTGACTCTCTGAAGGCCCCTGAATCCACCTTGGCTGTGGATACCGCAGTCAACCTTTCACCCAGTGCTGGAGGGCTTTTTGAATGCGTTTCCTCTGGAAGAGTCAGTGACCTGCACATTCCTTTTATTTTGATTTCCCTAAGGAATTCATGGATTGCTTGTCCTGTTGTAACTTTCTGGGTGGTGGGGTTGTTTGTTTGGCTAGTGCCGGGTCCCGTCGGACACCTCAGCTTCAATGAGATCCTAGACACATCTCTGAAGGTCAGCTGGCAAGAGCCCCTGGAAAAGAACGGCATCCTGACAGGTAAGTGGCATGTCCACCGGGGGAGGGCCCAGTGCCTCTTTTTACTGCTTAGGTAAGCTCCCACAGAGGCAATCTGTGTCTTTTGAGCCAGACTCTCATTCGCATTAACACTGAATCGCCTAGGAAGCTCCCACCTGGAAGTCACGCTGGTTTTTCAGCTGCGATTCACAATCACAGAAAACACTTTGGAGGATAGAACCATAGCATCTGTTGGTCTCAGGAAGCTACAGGAAGCCTCCCAGCATTTAGTAAATAAATGTTAAAGCAGCTTGATGAACCAGAGGAAGTATTAGTGCAATATAAATCAGAATCCTAAAAACCCAGCAAGAATTGTTAGCCTTTTACTTTGTTTGCCTCCTGGGTATATGTGAAAGTCATACGGTTCTATGTGTCTGTATGTATTTTGGGTTCTTTCAGGCTACCGAATCTCCTGGGAAGAATATAACCGCACTAACACACGTGTAACACACTATCTACCGAATGTGACTCTGGAATATCGCGTCACTGGCCTCACAGCCCTCACCACCTACACCATCGAAGTGGCAGCCATGACCTCCAAGGGACAGGGGCAGGTGTCCTCCTCCACGATTTCCTCCGGGGTTCCTCCAGGTAAGCTTGGCTTATAGGCATTCCCAACAGCAGAGCTTGAGCCGGGCCAGGAGAAGAAGCAAGGATGATTATATCCTTCTACTATTTATGGAAGTTTCAATTTGTACAAATGTGGTGTATCATCATTTTTAGCATCAAATGTAGTATATGAATACCCAGTTCCTGAGCTAGGAACCTGGTGGAGAGTGATAAATAATGCAATACATAAGAGTATGCAGTCCTGCATAACAAGCCACATAGTAAGTACAGACAGAGTTATTGAACAGTCCATTGTTTTTCTAGCTTTAAAAATAGATCGTTAGTCAGAAAGTACTGATAACAGCATTTCTTTATTAACCATTCACAAAACTGTTGCTGTATTGTGTTGGATTGTATTGTGTTGTACATGTATTGCATACATACCAGAAATACTGGATAACGTGCTATGTATCTGGTGGATCAGACCATAGTTCTCAAAAGCCCAAGCTGTAATGAATGTGCTGCAGTTTAAGGTACCACAGGAATCTGTGCTTATATTCAAGGTAGCTGTCCTAAATTGGTAGTCCTCTCCTTTGTTTACCTATGCTGTGAATCCCGACATCTTGCAGCCAGGCTTTGTTGGCTCCTAGGGCTGCTACTGTGGAGCAGTTCTGTCTCTCAGAGATTACAATCTTTCATTCCCCGTGGCTTCAAATTCATCCCCTTGCATGGGGACTTTGGCTCAAGGTTGAAGCATACAAGGGAACGTTGACTTGTGATAGGTTTTAGGTAGCCAAGTGAGAGACATGTAGATCTCATTCTAAGTGTCCCAAAGTAGCTTTAACAAGTCACATGAAGAAGCTCCCTTTATGAGCCTGCCCAGATGTTAAAATCATCAGGAGAGGCCTTTCTCTCCCTCTCACTGTCTTCATAAGTGCATTTGGTGGAAACACAGGAGAGGGCCTTCTCTGTTGCTGCACCCAGACTCAAGCTCCCTCCCACAGGAGGCCAGACTGGCCCCATCTTTACTGTCCTTCTGCAAGCAGAAAAAGACGTTTCTCTTCAGGCAGGCTTTCCCTCCGTAATTGGCTACCTGGGAGGGGCTTTTAAATTGAGGGTTGTGCCTTGTTGCTTTGAATCTGTGTTTATAAATCCTGCTGAAGCAGACACAATATATATATTTGCTTGCTTGCAGTTTTTAGCTTTTAAATGTTGTCTATTCATGATGTAAGCCACCCTGAGTCCTTTTTAAGGAGAAAGTTGGGGTAAAAAAATATTGTAAATAAATAAATAAATATCCATGTCAACCTGACCAGAATTCTTGGGATACTAGACAATTAGAGCTCTTCAGGGAATGATTTTTCAAGGTATATAATGCAACTCCAGAACATGTGAGGCAAGGCTGGCACAAACCAGTATGGCTCATATCAATTGAAGTGCTTTCCCTTGTAGGCTATGCTGCTGTTTTCTTAATCTTCAGGTCCCAAACTTTGTCTAGGGTAAAACTTGTTTTATGGACTACAGCTCCTAGATATCTTGGGACTGTGATCCAAAATGAAAAGGAAACTTTGCTGAATTCTGATTAGGAGCATGAACAGTATTTCTCCTTTATAAAGAAGGGTCTGTACCTGGCTTCTTCAAACCTCCGTGAACGGAATTTTGACAGCACACTTCCCTGAACAGATAGTTTTGCATATTTGATTTAATTCAGTTTGTCTGTGCGAACTTTGACTTTGCCCATCTCAATTAGTTTCAATATTTGTTCTTTTGAGTAATTCAATTAATTCAAGTGTAGGTCTCGTTCAGGCAGGCAGATAACACGTCTCGCACAATCTGACAACAACCAACCACTCACAAGCTTCCGCATTATTAAATTAACAAACATCAAAGTAATGAATATGAAATTACAGAAAATACCGTCTGCTCTCCTTGTGACCTTCATGAGGTGGAAATTTTGAATTCGATGAATATTTGAATCACTTCAAATATTTGTTTGAGACCTGCGCCGCTGACAGGCCAATCCAAGCATGTGGTGGTGTTATAATGCATTGGTAATAAGCCACCGTGTTGGGCACTGAAAATCTTTTCCTTCAATTTTAGTTCCTTATCATGAATCATGATTGATGGGCTGAGTCAGGGTTACTTTGTGGAATTGGTAGTTTAAGTTAGCGAGGTTTCCTGATAAAATAATTACATACTTTTGGGACTTAATGTTAGAGATAATAACCAATAGTATGCATAATAAACACCCAATGATTACAGAACAGAAGGATACTTAGTAGAGATGTGCACAAATTAAGTTGTGTCCCTTTGTATAAGGTTCTCTGTGTGACACCACAGGTGTCACATGTTCACTCTCCCCACCTCACCCCTGGCTGACTGAGCGACTCACAATCCATTGTATACTGCCGGTCCGCCTTCTGTGACTGTGATCCATTCCAGGGAGGAGCTCAGGCTGCCCTTCTCTGCCTCCTCCAGCAGCTAACCACTCTGATGAGGGGATTCTCCCTGTGCAGCCACTGTGTGGTCAGCTGCTGGAGGAGGTGGGGAGGCAGCCTGCACTCCTGCCTGGACTGCAGCACCATTGGAGAAGGACGACCCCAGCTGGCTGGGGGGTGGGGAGAGGAAATGTGTGGCACCTGTGTTACAGCACAGAGGACTGCGTACGAAGGGAGACAACTTAATTAGTGCCCATCTCTAATACTTAGTGATAGGAAGAATCCTGCTGAAGCAGACACAAGTATCCCACAGTGACCAGAAAAGTGTATCTGGAAAGTCCACAGGCCAGAGGACATGAAGGCAGCTGCATCATTCTTTTCATGTTCCCTTGTGACACATAAGGACCTGCTGCCTCTGTTCCTTGAGGCAGCATGTATGTATCACGACTAAGCCACTGATAGCTTGATTCTTCGTGAATTTGTCTAACCCCCTTTTGAAGGCAATTTAGGAACACAGATATATGAGCTTTCTGTTGCCTTGCATTTGTCCTCACAGAATGGTCTATTCAAGCTCTTCCTTTTTGCCTTTTTCCACCTCGGTACTGTATGATGTCAAACATGAGCTTCCTCTAGCTTTACCCTTTGCCATTTGTCTCATGCTTGAAAGCCCATAGGAGAAAACATATCTGGGGTGGGGTGCATATGCAGTATGGAACAACTGGATTAAGTGACCCTTTCCCCTTCTATCAACTGCTGGAGCTGCTTTTGATAGGTAAAGTAGTTGCCCTGGCTTTGTTACATATACCCAAGTGTAACACAGCATCCCTCAGCTCTACACCCTCCAGATGTGTTGGACTACAACCACCACCATCCTCCAGTACTCTGGCTAGGGTGATGGGGATTGTAGTAAGGCTGAAAGATGATGCAAAGTGATGCATTCTACGGCATGATCACAAGGGGGCAAAAAGCTAAGTGTGCAAGAAGCAGGGCAACTCTGTGTGCTCTCTTTTCTTGTATAGATCTGTCATGTCGTGGCAGTTCTCTTCTTGAATTCTATGGGTCTTAAGGAGACAAGATTATATCTTTTTTTTGACGTTTTAGATTCTCATTGTTTTGAGGAACCAGTAAAGAAGCTAACTGGAAAAGAAAGTGAAGCAAATGTTTTTCAAAAGAGCAAAATTGATATTTGTTTTCCTCGGGTGTAAAAGCAAAACCTATCCTATTGCCATAGTTGAGGTTAATGAAGATTTCTCTCCTAAAGTTACGGCACTGAACATTCAACTATGGTCGGTAGCACCTTTATCTTCTTTGATCTATGCTTATTGTCTTCGTTGTTGTTGTTCCACATTTTAAATTGTTTTCATTCTGTAGTTGTTTTAACAAGTGGGGGGGGAGTGTTTAATTGCATTTTAATATAACTGACTGGCCAAAAATCTATTGTTTCCATAAATTAAATGGCATAGGTCATGTCAGCACAACAAGGTGCTGGTGAAGTTCCTGAATGCAAGCCCCAGAAACACAACCAGTGGCTTCGTAATTAGTGGCAGTTTGCTGCCATGAATTAACAGCATTTCACTTACGCAAGTGAAATCGGCTGTTGGATGCTAGCCATTCTGTTTTATTCATTTTGTGAGCTTCCTTCGATCTATGTATTGGCAAGAGGCACGACATAACACACTGTGTTAAAGTAGGTCACCATTAAAGTAGGCCTATTTGAATCAATGGAACTTATGGAGGAGTTGACTATGGGCTTACTCTAGTGTATTTTACTGTATGAGACAAATAGATTCCATGTCTTAGTCCTCCCCACAACCACCAACTGTTTGCAGCATATGCTGAAATATGTTTCTCATATTATGGATAGTCTGCTTCTTCAATGCAGGTTATGGTAACAATACTTGTCCACAAGACAAAGAATAATTGAGCCGATGGATATTATCTTGGAGTGGTAGACATCCCAAAGTTCCATGTTTGAATTCTCTTTGTTCACAGAGCTCCCTGGGGCTCCTACCAACCTTGGCATCTCAAACATTGGTCCCCGTTCAGTCACTCTTCAGTTTCGTCCTGGATATGATGGGAAGACCTCCATTTCTAGGTGGCAGGTAGAGGCTCAGGTAAGCCTGTGGCTGGGACTCCTCCAGCAGTGGCAGAGATGAACAGCAGAGGAAGTCCTATTTCTTTTGTACAGTATCTCTGCACTCCAACTGGATGTGACACCACAGAACTAAGTTGACCATTCAGAATGAGATGCAAGGATTTAATTTGCATGTGTTCACTTTGCAAAGTTTTAAGGAAATTGAAATATTGCAATGCAGCAAAGAGGGAGACAGCATGAAAAAATGAGGGACAGAGAGAAGAGGAAATGGAGGATAACAGTAAGTAAGAACCATAGGCAGGATTATGTATAGTCTATGGTTGTATAGAGCTTAATGGGGATTTGTCATAACAGTTTCACATTTTAAAAGAAATATTCTCATCCTTGCTTCAAATATAGGCTTAAGACTATTTGAGCAATGCCTGTTAAAATTTCAAAAGGAGAAATTTTTTAATGAGCACATTCCTGGGAAGTACTCTTACATCCAATGTGTTTGTATTTGGTGTAAAGATATCAAACACAAGTTATTCTGTTTTCTGATATCTAAGAATAACAATCACCAAATTCTACAAGTTTAGCCAACAAATACTGGGGGGGAGAATGCAATAGCAGGCAGTGATCTGCAGAACGGTAGGTTGTTCTCCAGCCTGTTAATTGGCTTGCTTGTTTTCCTCCCTCCCAGGTGGGTCAGGTTGGGGAGAGTGAGGAGTGGAGCCTCATCCACCAGCTGTTCAATGAGCCAGATGCCCGTTCCATGGAAGTGCCCAACCTCAATCCCTACACATACTACAGGTGGGTGCTGCTATATCAAAAGAAGTGGAGAAGAGGGATCATAATGGCCAGATGGTACATTTCCTGTGCTGGCCATTCACAAGAACTTAAAAGGATTCCCACTGACACAAACCAAATGCCCATCACGTTTATTTATTTTATTTATTTATTTATTTTATTTCTATCCCGCCTATCTGATCGTATTAGACCACTCTAGGCGGCTTACAATAAAACAACAATGTAATTTTAAGACATTACAGCTAAAACGTAAATAAAGATAGAGAACAAAGTAAGAAAAAGATCGTCAAGGGTTTTCTGTTGGGAAGGCCTGCCTATACATCAGTGTTTTTAGTTGTTCTTAAAAATGCCCAGAGAGGGAGCCGCGTGAATCTCAGGGGGCAAGTTGTTCCAAAGGCGAGGAGCCACCGCCGAGAAGGCCTGATTTCTGGTCTTTTCCTTTCGGGCCTCTCTCGGCGTTAGGCTCCTCAGCCTTACCTCCTGGCTCGCGCAAGTGACACGGGTAGATCTTGGTGGGAGAAGGCGTTCCGCCAAGTATCGAGGTCCTAAACCGTTTAGGGCTTTATAGGTAAGCGTTAACACTTTGAAATCGATGCGGAAT